AAAATCTCTTTATGTTAAACTCATATTTGAATAGTTCAACTAAATATCACTCAATAAAAAAGTAACATATCAAATTTTTCCTAAATATTAATGACTAATTTTTTTTTTCTAGAAACCAGCATATAAACTTTCTTATGTCAGTTAAAAAAAAGTGCCATCAGGTGTCCTTCTTTGACACGGATGTCAGAAATTTTCAAGTAGAATATAGAGCTCCATTAGATTTGAAACTGGTTATTGGTAGAATTCTTTTCTCCTTATTGATTTTTGATCTTTTTTTAGCCTTTAATTTCTTATGTATGTGTATGTTTGTATGTGTGTACTTAAATGCTTTTTAGTATTAGATACATGCTTTTTAAATTATTAAGTAATGGTCATTAAAGCAAAGAGAAGATGCCATGTATTTGCCAAACTAAGAAATGCAGCATTACCCCACTAGGCCATCTTTGAGAATTTGATGGAGAATGCAGAAGCCACTCTACCTAGAGAGCAAAGATCTAAAGGGGTTTCAACTATACCATTGGGTTTTAATCAGCTCAAAGGGCTCATTTGTTATCTAGTGATAAATACATGCTAGCAATTCCCAAATCGTTTAGGCCATATATACTTATCTTTATAAGGAGGCAAAATAATGACTCTAGGACTTCCTCAAACATGAGGAAGCATATTTAGTTTTAAGTCTTATTTTCACAGTAAAAAGATACTTTAGAAAAGGGTGGTTAAAAATAATAACATAAATACTATGAGTAATTTTGACTCCTTTTGCATTTGAATTAAACCAGAATGATTAACATTAGGTAAACTGATTGCCAATTTAGGCAGTTTTTCTCAGCATGCTTCCAAATTCTATAAGACTAGCTCTTTCAGAAATCCCCACTGCCACTTTTAAAACTCATTCCAAGATAAGATATTCCCTGAGTTGGCAGAAATTAAAGCCTAAAAGAATTGTCTCTTGTACTCAGAGGTTAATGGATTATAGCATTATTTATACAAATTGGAAATCAAACAGGTAACCAGAGAAGCTTAGGCTGAGGTCTAGCTGCACCCAGGGGCCAGCAGGCAGCCCTTGGCACTCCTCAGGGGCAGCTGGGATGTTGTGTATGACAGGAAACAACCTTAGCGACAGGTGTGTTTGATTAATGGGGGGGCGAAGCTCCCCAACCTACAACAAACTATGATGATCTCTTCTCACCACCAGAGAAAGAGAATATCAAAAGGTAGTAGAGCCAGGGTGGCACTAGCAGAAAAAAAAAGTCCTACCTCATAGTGATTACGATAGGAGAGGCAGAGGCTTATAGTAGAGAGTTAAATATGCTCTATTAGAAATCATTGAATCCTTTCTTGAGAAATACCATATCTTTGCACTTCTGGCATAAAGTTTGAGTATTTTCAGAATGTCTCCTCTGAAACTACTGCAAAATTACAGTAGTAACCAGCCAAGCAGAAAATACTGGATCACAAGAAAATATCACAAGCAGAATGAGGAAAACATAGAAATGGAACATGGATCTAGAAGGAGATGCTTTCCTAAGAACACTGGGATCACACCACAAATTAAGCCTATGAATCATATTTAGAGTTTGCTGGATCTATATGCATCTATATATAAGTGTGTATATGTACATGTGTTTATATTTACGTACAGATGTATATACAAGCACATACACACACCTATGCAAACACGTTGTGCCATTCTTTTCTACCAATTACTTCTGCCATTTCTCCAAAGTCTTGTGGGTAATAATAGAAACCATTTGAACATGGACTAACGTAACTAACCTTCCTTCACTACCTTGATGCCAGGCCAGCCAGTGGACTTACCTGGAAACCATCTAGAAACCAAAGGTCATCAAGACCTTATATTAACTAAAAATTTCATATACATTAGCACAGTCAAGATGAGCCAGGAATACTAGTAGCTTTTGCTACAGATTGTCTTCCTTTCTGAAACATGATTTTCCAAACTCAAAGAAATTACGGCAGAGCAAAATAATTTGAGCAATGACAGATTGTCTAAATCCCACAGACCATATTAAAATAGGACCTCATCTAAACCTCATTTAAATACTTGAGACAATTTAGATTTTCAAACTATGCAAACTGAAATTCCACACACATCCTGAGTAACTCTCTGCTTTATTCAAGAAATCTCCTTGCCAAATTACTGCTTCCAAAATATAATTTACCAACATACAGAAAATGAAAGATTTCCCTGCAAGGTTTGCTGTCTCTCTACCCAAGGAGCTCTCTTTTCCTACTTCCAAACGTTGACAGAATTCTATTAATCATTATAATCCAAATGTATACATATACACATGTACATATGCATATACATACATAATATTGTAAATTATAGTCCTCAATTCATACTATGCACATGTTGTTTTACTGTGTAGAAAATGCAGAAATTATAGTTTTGATATTAATGTTGCAGGTTTTTTACAACAATTTCAAGTAACTACATTGTGTTGATACCATAAGACACCCCATTAAGGGGTATAATTTTTTAAATATTTACATAAAATAATAAATTGTATTGGGAGAAAACAAAATTTTCCTCTTCATGAATGCACAACCCAAAACTGCTCTTCCAAAAATACTAAAAGATTATGGGTTTTTTTTTTTTACTTTTACCTTGAATCGAAAACACTGTAATAATTATAGTTGTTACCACTCATGAAGTACTGAGAGAAACTAAAATTTATCTACCTTTAATCTTAGTTAATATTATTCATCATAGCTAAAGAGGAATAAAATCTGCATAAGACTTTAGCAACAATACTTTCATATGATGGTAATTAGATCAAAGCAACCTAAAAACTTCCATTGTTTACTTTTAAAAATTATTTAGTGCAAAAATACCACCAAATACAAAAACTCTAAAGCTTCTTTTATATAGATGCTAAAACCTATTCAATTTTTCCGTTATAATGAATTACAAAATCAAAGACAGTGGAGTGAAATGATTTGTAAGTATTTTTGATTTGTATATAAGCAAGGACAATTATTTTAAATTAATTCCCAAAGCATTTATTAAAACATTGTTGCTACTTATCTAAGGCAGCAATGATTGTTTAATCTCCAAGTTTCCTAATATCCAAATATTCTAAGAAGCCTATCATGCTACTAATATTAACAGATTAATTCTTTTATAACTGTATTAGGTAGAAATTCGCCATCTGTGTTTTGGTCATTTACATTGTGAAGAATGTATTCTTGTCACTCCATAAAAAAAATCCTTCACAGTAATCACTGAAATCCATGTATCTTTTATCTTTCCACAATGCCTAGTAAAGTGCTCTATTATATGCCTGCCATATAATATCACCAACAGAATTATAAAAAGTCTAGACATAATATATTTGAACCACCATTTTCTACTAGGCAAAATTATTAACTTACACAAGGTTCTTCACGGATTTTGCAAAATAACAGACTTTGTGTTGTTTATGGATCTTCAACCAACCAAACTTCTTTTTATTAATATATTAAAGTGACTGGAGGATTAGATACAATGAGAACAGTAAATTACAACTTTTTCTGGAGTTTACAATGTTAAAACCAAATAGTTCTCAAAAGCTATGGCTCTTTAATCCATGAAGAATTAGATCATTGTTATTTAAATTAAATAATTAAATTAAATAATTTAATTTAGCTTACTTTATCTTCTTACTTGTTCATTAACCCAGAAAAGTACAAATAACATGAACACTTAATAAGAAAGTAAGCATGTAATAAGTAATTGAAATTTCTTGTAAGATATCAATATTGTTTCCTTCACTAGAAATGCATTTTTGGCTCAGAAATTTGGCCTCCAAAACATTTCAGAATAAACTGATATATTCACAGCCATATGTAATATATGTATTGCTTACCTCAGTCAAGTGTGGCGTAGGGTTAAATCCACAGAGATTACACACTCGGTTCTTGCATTCAGTGCAGGTATTGAAGTTAGGAGGATCCTTAGAACTTATGTTGAGTTCAGTTTTGCAGAGAGGACAGACTGATTCTGGTTTGGGGGTTTTCTCTGGTTTGGGAGGAAGAACAGCCTTTTGAGGCTCAGCTGTTGAAGGTTTACTGTCCTTAATAGGTGGAGGCTTCTTTTCTGTTTCTGTTCTTTTTACCACTGTAACTTGTTCAGCTTTGGGTTCTAATTTTTCAGCTACTGGGGCTTTTGTTTCCTTTTTCACAGGTGCAGTCTTTGCAGGTGGTGGTGGTGCCTGACCTGTGGATTTGGGTGGCCCCTGAGAAGTAGGTGGCTGTGAAGGGGGAGGGACTTGTTTTGTTGGTGCCCCTGGCCCACTTTGTGAATGAGGTCCAGGTTGGCCTGCTGTGGCAATTAAATTTGATGCCTGGCTGAAAATCGATGCTCCAAACCCAAAAAGTTTCCCGGTCACAGTTTCTTGAGGAGTTGTAGGCTGTGATTTAGGAGCATCAGTAATACTTCCCAGATTCAGACTGAAACGTCTCGACTGTTCCTGAGGCTTTGGGGGCTGTTGAGATGTGGGGACGGTTTGGCCAGTGGTAGGTCGTGAGCCAGGGGGTGTTGGTGACCCTTTTGGCATTGGCTTGGCATCAGGTTTAGGACTCATTTTGGTTTGTGCTTTCTTAGGTTCTTCTTTCTTCTGAACTGGATCAACTTGTTTTTCATCTTTGCTCTCTGAACTAGGCCCAGGATGTGAAATAATTTTTGAATCTGATGCAGGTCGAGGTATGACTTGAGAATCAAATGGGGTGACTTTTTCTCCTGTTGGTGGAAAACTTTGTGAAGGTTTGGCAGAATCCGCTTTTGGAGGAGGGGTTGTTTTCTCTTGAGCCTGTGACTGTACTTTGGAGCTTGGAATATCAGGTTTTGTTGCTGAGGATAAAGACACAATGTCTGGGGGTGGCTTTACTGTCTTCGGCTGCTTTGGTTTATCATCAACAACAGGGTCCTTGGCCTTCTCGGATGGGATAGAAGGCTCTTTGGGAGGGGCTGGCTTGGATGAAGACTCTGCCACAGGAGGCTGCTTGGCAGTGGCTGGGGGAGAGCCATGAAGGGTTGGTTGTTTCACTAGTGGTGGTGGCTTTTTAGACTCAGGTGCCTTGGAAATGTCCTGTTTGGGTGCAATATCCTTCTTTGGGGAAGTCTGCTGTGACTGTGGGGATGATTTGCTCACTGCTAATGTAGGAGTAACAGGGGCAGTCTTCGGTTTGGGCTGGGGTGATGATGGAATTGGAGCCAGATCACCTCCTAGAGCTCTTTGCATCTGACAGTTTAAACAGAGCCACTCTTTTATCTAGAAATAATACAAAAAAAAAAATAGTCACTGAGATAATAATACTGTAAAAACACAAACATCTTTTCAAAATGCATGCTGCCACTTGAAACTATGTCTCTCATCATTCAAAGCATAAA